TTCCGACGATTCAGTCATTTCAAAAGTAAACGTCGAATGTGCAAAAAACAGCACCAGAATCAAACTAAAATATACTTTATTCCACATATTTTAAAAAATTCTTGTAACTTGAAAAAAAAATGTTGTGATTTTGATTGTAATAAAAATGTGATTTCAAATTTCACATCGATCTTTCTCCCGACATGTTCAAACGTCGACTGATTATACTTGTCAACTATTTATGCGAATTAATGCTATTCAAGAACGTGAATCATTTGATTAAAATCAAACCCACACAAACAAGTGACATTCTAATTGTGTTTGCTTGTAGCAAAATATCATTATGAGAAGAGATACGGAGTGTAAAAAAATGCAAAAAATGTAATATAATTGCTATTATTATCATGTCAAAATTGTTGTTTATTCTCGGCCTTTGTTGTCCCAAATAAATAAAGTCTCGCTTCATCGCCAGCCAAGTGCAAACAATGGATGAATTCACGTTTCTGCTACACGTGATTATTATGTGTGAGTTATTAGTTTTGCGCACAATCAATAATCACCTTTGATATTCGTCAAGTACTGATAAATATGGTCAAATGATTTGAACTAATTATAGAGCAGTAAATTGCATATTGGAGTGGCAAACATACAAACTGGCCACTAAAAAAGTGGGTGCTTCTTACTTTGTAGTGAAAGCATGCATTTTTCAAGTGGCTACATTTTTATGCCCTTTTTTGATAACAAAACCGTATAATATCATGTACAAATACAATAAATGTTGTTAAATATTTTTTAATGGAATTTTTCCTATAGCTTCAACCGATTACGTTGATGAATGCGAGACTATATTACGATTAAATCGGTCTATAAATAATTGTTTTCGACTGTTCACACTTGATTACAACTGAAATAAATTATTTATTATAAATTCAATGAATGCTTTGTTCCTATTTCTAGTTATTTTTTTGTTCCTATTTCTAGGCGAAAAATGCATTTTGTTTATATCTATGTGACATTGTGATTGACACTGTACTAATTTAATTCAGACTAATTCGTGAACCGAAGTACAGGATCACTGGTTCAAAGGTCACACAAACGGTTTATTGAAATCAAAGCAGAATTATGACGTTAATTGTTTTTGTTTTTAATTTATATAGATAATTCAACTGCAATGTGCGATTGGTATCAGAAATGCGCAGAGATGGCCAATCGCACGCTCAGTGCGAAATTGTTAGTTCAAAATTGAGTTGTTTCTTGCACTGAGTTTGTACACACACTTCAAATCGACGTTGGAGTTTGCACACACATTTTGAATCAACGTGACTCTCACTTGAGCTTGCACTTTGACTCTCTTATTGATCGAGCTTAGCTATTATATAGAGACGTGAACTAGTATAAAGAAAGAACATATGAGGAAGAGGTGAAAAAGGAGAATGTGAAAAGAATAAAAGTGCGGCTTACCGCACCCAGTACAAAACGCGGTTCGCATGTTTACAACGCTCGATTCTGGTAGCAGTGCGAACGTTGCTCAGAGAACTCGGTGCGCTTTGCCATCTCTGGAAATGCGTTTGTTTTTATTCAACACCACAAACGTGGTACATTTGATTGCACGTATCATTAGATTAACGCAGTAAAAAATGTCCCCCATTGAGATTTATATGTATGTGGAGAAAGTGGCATTGAAAATAATGGCAATATTCGATGGAGCAAGGAAAGTCTCGTATCGAAAATCTCGATTATATTACCTTATCAGTGTGTGAAGCTTGCAAAATGAGTGGAGACGAAAGCTTTTTCCACGCATATTCAACTTGGGTAAACATTTATTTTTCGCATCATTACAGTTTTTTTGTGGTTTGTGTTTACAGAATAAAAAATTGGGTAAATAAAAGAAAATGTTGTATGTTAAATATTTACAAAAATTAACAGTTTAACAAACTTATTTATCTTTTTCTATTCATTCTTTTTTATAGCGGTTTTTTCATTGTTTTTTATGTTTGGCTATTTTCTGTAACGATATAAAAATATAATTATTGTTATTGACCGATTTCCGCGAAGCTATGGTTACTTTGTCCATCAATTAGATTATATATTTCTCCTTGATTGAGAGCATACTGACCCTACTGATGATAGTGTTTTTGTTCTTTGAAATAGATTCGCGTGTCTTTGGTTCATGAACTTCATGTAAAAAAACTTAAATCAGAAGAGTGGTAAAACAGCTTCTCAGGCAGTCACTTTGTGGTTAAGGGCAAAATTATTCAACCAGAAATTGTTTGTGACAGCATCAAATCCGAAAATAAATTTGTCCGCTGTGGCAAAATAAATGAGAACTTAATGGAATAAAAACACTCAAGAGCGTACACATTGAATTTTGTTATCAAAAGTAGCGGTTGCGTGCATGTCATGAGACTTAGTATTACAAACGCATTACACACGATATTTGCAATATGTGCTTGTAAAGTTTTACGAATTAATCTATATTGATCAATATAATATGATTTTCGGTTCGAAATTCACTTTTCCGTGAGAGAAAATCACGCAATCATTAAAGATACAAATCGTTGTGCCAAACTTTGTGTATTGAAACTAACTAAAATATACAAACTTAACTAAATACAAAGCAAACATTAGATAATGGTTTGCTTAGGTTCATAAGGAAGATTTGTTGAAGATGGCGTGTGTGTGTATTTGTGCACCAATTCATAGAGATGATACAATGAACTTGTGAAGGAATTAAATGAAAGACTCTATTTGAATGGAAACAAAGAAATGACTGAAAAAACAACAGTCGGAAAGTATAAAACAGGAGGCATTCTGTCTTTGAATCTGTTTTTTATAAATAAACGCACAATTTTAAACAATATAAGTCTTTCATTGATCCGCTTAGTTTGAACGAGAAACATTTTTCTATTCGCCGTTTTTTCTTTCATTTCCAATTCCTTCGCTGCTGCTGCTACACCATTCAAAGAAAAACTATTTGACTTTTATCTTCGTTCTTCGTTGTATTTTTTTTTTAATTCTCAAATTTTCCACCATTTAAACAGCCGTTCATAGCTTGTGTGCACTGACCGCAACCATCGTAAAATGTGGATTTGCAGAAAACAACACTGACAAATCACTGAAGTTTTGCTCTTTTTCTGTCGCAAAAACAGTCTGTTTAGTTATATAGTTGAATGTGAAAACATCAGTAAAAAAGTAGATAGAAAAAAAGCTGGAACGGGTTAAATGGTTGTTACAAAATTTGTTTTGCATTGTGTTGAGTCTATGGACGTTGTGTTCGGAAGTTTATCTGACCATCATACGTCTGCATAAGGGGGTTGAAGGATGACTTGTTTGTAATTTTCTTCAAGACAAGACGACTGCTTTCGCCTTTTTTTTCACTGGAATTAAATTTATGAAACTATGAACAGAGAAAAGTTTCAAAGATATTTCAGCCACACAAACATATTGTATGTATATAAAATCTGGAGACGAAGTGTAAAAGACAGACGACCAGATAAACTGAGATAAACCAATTGAAATATAAATCGAAAACGAAATAAAGTTTAATACAGTTTACAATAGCAGTTTAACTATTCGGTCAGTGATTCGCTTCAAAGCATTAATTTCGTTTTGGCAATTCAATAAAGATATCAATCGTGAACGACGCAACCAACGCGCTCGACGAAAACTTCAACTCTTACCATTTTATTGGCTTTATCCTGAAAACTTGTGAAAGTTTTTGCGAAAACCTTCGGGGCAATGCATTACATCTTTAGATTTGTAAAATGAACCAAAGCGGATTTAATGAAAATGAGGACAAAGCAAACTTAACTTGAATAAGACACAAAAGAAAGAAACCGCTACGATTTTGTTCTATGATTAGCCCTTTTTTTTACATATAAGTTGCTCTGTGCCAGTGCATTCGGCTGCTCATTATTCGGAGTAGAGAATGTTTAATATTTCACTTTTCAGCATTTGTGATCAGTGCAAAAAATGCAGTTTTTGTTTGTATTGTATAAACTCCATTCAAATAGTATCTTTTTTAAATTAAGTGTCTACATTCATTTGCAGAAAATGATTAAAAAAAACACCGAATACAACGAAACCAAAAGGCAAGGATAGAATGCATCCATTTTTCATACTTACCATATTTTTACACACTGCATTTTTTTGTCCTACTTGGTATATTAAAGCTGAAAACGAGGTTTTTACAGAATGGAAACATCGTCTATATTTATTTTGTTTCTTTTATTCATTTATTATACATATATCTATTTCGTAATTTACAAGTATTTGATTTTTGACTTAATGATAAATTTCTCATCCAAATCAACAATTATATGTTTTTGTTTCTGAAAATAAGAACATATGAGTAGACATGTATAATGGTTTTTTGTTAAAATTATTGAAAAAAAGATAGTTAAAATAAAGAGGCAAACGAATAAAAAAAATGGTTAAATCGAATATAATTTACTTATTTAAAAAAGAAACTTAGAAAATAGTTCGGATGTTTTGTGTTATTCAAGTGATGCGCGCACAAAGGGAAAAAGTATAAATGAAACTCGTTTGAAAATAAACGGTTTTTGTAGCGCCAAAACTTGAGCCCACTCCAACAACAAAAAGAGAAACTTCACTTACACACTACATTCATATGCGCAAAGGTAATGTAATTTGTAATTTGCATTAAAACTTAACTTAAAAATAAAATGTGTTTTTCGAGTGTGTATGGATAAATTACAATTTCATTTAACTATAAGAGTAAGAGCGGATCTCTCTTGTTGATCCTAGGTCATTATATATATATTTTTTGTTTCAAAGGCAAGACACAGAAATTCTAATGATATTCTCTCAAGGGTTCATTTTTTATCTCATGCTTATTTAGTCGATTTTCGTTTTGAATTTGAAAATCACATCGATTTATAAATCGAATGCTTAATCATCACATTTGGAAGATACACACACAGAATATCTGTTTGCGAAAGGGGAAAAATACAAAAAAAAAGAACGAGAAAAAAAGATGCTTGCACTAAATCAAAACTGGTTGTTTTTTGGTCGAAGTGCGCGCAAAATAAAAAAAAAATGATTAAGTCAATTGAAGAAGAAATGTTTAAATGAATTCAGTCGATTGGCACAATTGCAAAATGCACTACAAAAATCCAGACCATTCCATGGTGTTTGGAAGGGGGCCAGATGTAATCGGAACCAGAAACAACAAAAAGATGGGTCACATAAAGCTCTATAACGTGAGAATGATTTTCCAAAAATGGATTATTTTTTTTTTTTACATTTGACTTCATTCAAAAAATCACACATAGAATTTTAATTAGGTTGCATTATAACTATTTTTATATATCATCTGCAATATTTGTTTTTTCTTTTAAATTTACAATAGATTTTCCATTTTGTGGTAGTGTGGGTTTTGTATTTTGATAGCTTTGTTGATGAGAAAAAATAAACATGGTTAAAATTACGTGTACAACAGACATCAAGTTTATATACGTGGTAATTTTTCCATTCATAGTATTGTACAGTCAAAGTCATCACTTTTTTGTGCTGTTCAATTTTTATTTAATAATATAAATTACAATTTCATGCATCGACCGATAATTTGGTTCTGATCTTGTCTCTATGATTAAATTGATTTGCCAGTTTAAAAACACTCACTTATGCTCATGTATTTATTGCTACAGGGTAGACACCAGTGTAATGTAAGCAAAATAAATCATTTTGGAATCTTTTCGAGTCGAAGAAAATGACAAAAATGTTTCCTATTTTAATCGAAAAAAATATGCATTTGAGTAAGTGGCCGTTGTTGAGGTGATTGAAATTAAAAAAAAAAACGAAATTTGTTCATGGCATTTTTAGCTTTGCCCAAGGATATATAGCAATTGTATGCCCTTTTGCGCATAAATAAAATCCTTAGTCAGGCTTGAAAACTGATAATTAAAAATCAAAATATAAAAAAATGCAAAGAAAAAATACATAATTTTTTTTATCTAATTGCATACAATTTCTTACGAAACTAATTTTTTTATTACAAATTATTATTTTTTTTTTAATTTATTAATTTAGTTTCATCGTCGTGTTTTTTCTGTTTTTTCTTCAATCGGAAATAAAAATCAACTATATTCAATTCATTTTGACTTAATTAACATTCATCATTTCTTGCTTACAGACTAAAACTGTGTTTTGTTCTTAAAATGTGAAAGGATTTTTTTATGTCTCTTATTAAATGTATCATTTATCTCATTCAGTGGATGTACCATTTCATGCCAAACTATTTTCTACTATTTATTTGTTTTAATAGACACAATCCAAAATTCCATACAACATAATTCGTGAATGTATCGTGTGGTTTTTCTTTCTTTGTATGGTTGAATAATAAAAGTGTTCTATTTTCAATTGATGTGATTGTGTAGTATTTGATTATGATACAAAGTCAACAACAATTTTCAATATCAAATAGAATTGGAAACCGAAATTGCTCAAGCCGAATTATTTGTGTGAATGTGAGAGAAATCTATGAAATTCCAAATTCGGTTCGATCGATCTGTGAACTCGGTTAATTGATAGAGACAAATCTTGTATGTGTGTTTAATGGTCTTTTTTAGACTTCTGTGCCATCTTCGCATTCATCTTGAAATAGTTGATTGCCATCGGCAGCTAATTCGGGATTTTCGGTGATCGCTGATATGGTTGGCATTTTCTTTTTTGGTTTTGGCGGTGGTCGTGGCGGTACCTTTGATACCGACGTCGTCGATTTATCCGCCATACCATTCGTATTCGGATTATTATTGTTACTATTATTACTTAGATTTGTATTAGATGTGCTTATATTTGAAATTAGATTATTATTAATTGCATTTGCGCTAACTATAATTGGATGTGGTTCAATTGATTTATTGAATAGCAATTCGGTTTCATCGTTCATGCCGCTCAATTCGCCGCCATTCGGGAATATTTGTTGTTCCTGTATTGGCTCATAAATTCGTGGGGTCGCCGGCAATGGGCGATCTTTCATCGTATAACTTGGTCCGGCACAGCCCATTTGATCCAATGAACCGGACACCGAAACGGCCATCGGTTGGTGTTGGCATTGATGTTGCTGTTGTTGTTGCTGCTGCTGCTGCTGTTGTTGTTGTTGTTGTTGTGCTTTTTTTACACTCAATGCTGAATGGCCGCTGGCCGATGTTCGCAAACCAAGATTATCATAAATTGGATCGATGGCCAATTCTGTGGATATTGTTGATGTTGGCGATGTCGGTGGAAAATCGACCAACGTCGATGCAATCGATGGTGCCCAACTTGGTGTTCGCGGTTTACGTGGTATTGTTACATAACCTTGTTGTTTCATCATGATTGGTGCATACAATATTGGTGCCGGTTGAAATGGTGAACTGGTACGATTGATAATGGCCAAATTTCGATTTTTCGGATGTTGTAATGTTCGATAGCCGGCCTGTTGTACCGCATAAGCATTGTGCTGATATATTGGACTTGCGATCGGCGATTTAATGTATAAATTACATTCGGGAATATTTGTAATTGAACTTTGTGTCGACGATGATGGTGGATACCGTGATGGGAACGATAAAAGATCGGGCGGAAGATTTGTACCGCATCCATCATCAACAAATGTTGCGCGTGACCGTGGCGTTGTGTCCGACAAAGCGATTGAGTGCGTTTCGTCTTCAAGATGACCTGATTTGGAAGTAGAAAGGAAGAAAAATTAATGTTTTTATAAATGTCATGCTTATTTTTGTTTTGCTTTTTTACCATATGATTGTTCATCCAATAGTGTTTTCTTAATTTCCTGCGTATCATCAGATGGTATACTTTTACCATCAGTTTCACTTCGTCGCGGTGGTTTTTCAACTGGATTCACTTCGGTTAATAGACTCTTCTGCATTTCCATAATGACCGAACCTTCAAGCATCGAACCGTCTGTTGAGCGATCAACTTTGCTTGAAACCAAACCATTTTCACTGATCGAACCATTTTTCGAGTATTTCTTTACGCGACGACAATAACAGCATAAAATTAATACGATAATTATGAGTAATGTCAATAAAACGATGGCAATCAAACAGACGATAAAGAGTAAATTGGTTGGATTTGTGGTGGGAATGCCGGCAGTGCTTCCAATAATGCCCAATCCGTCGAGTGATTCCACAACAGGCGGTACAGCAACATGGATGTCAGCCTTTGCCTCACCACCAGTATTTTTTGCAACGCAAGTATACATGCCGCGATCTTCCGTTTTTACGCCAACAATCACAAGTTCGGACACATAATAATCGGCCGAATCACGTCGATTTGATTCTTCAGCATTGCGAATGGTGATTCGTTGATCCTCTGGATTCAATGGACGACTATTGTACATCCATTCGATTTGTGGTCTTGGCGAACCTTTCAATCGGCAAGCGATTGTCATATTTTCATTGGTCGCATCAATGGTTAAACCATCGTGTGGAAACACAATGACTGGTCGACATGCAAAATTATCGGGCGGTACATCGGTCCAAAGTTTGCCGCGCAAATTCATGGGCAAATAGCAATCGGTTGGCGGTGTATACAATCCGCGTGCAATTGCAAATTGTTGAAATGCTTGCAATTCACATGTACAATTCCATGGATTTTGATTCAATGTCAAACTGCGCAAATTATTCATACCACGAAATGATTCCTCTTTAAGAACCGTTAATTGATTATTCTCCAAATCGATTTCACGAATGGTTGACACATTCACAAATGTGTGCTGACTTATTGATTTCAATTCGTTATATCGAAAATCAACTTTGGCCAAAAAGCTCAAATTTTCAAACAGATTGTCGTCCAAATATTCGATTTGATTGTGTGTTACAATCAATACACGTAATCGTATCACGTCAGTGAACGTGCCCGGGTGCAACACTTTCAAAAAATTATTCGTTAAATCCATTTCGATAAGCAAATGCAATCCTTTGAATGCATCACGATGGATCTCTTGCAGTGTACAGTTTCGCATATAAATTTTATGCAAGTTCGGTAGATTGGCATCTTTAAATTCGTTCGATCGCAATTCAGGTATGACATTGAATGATAAATCGATCACTTGTAGTTCAACACTCATTTCACGTGGCACCGATATCAACGATGTATTTTTACAGTCGGCCTGTTTCTTTGACGAAATCCATTTACAATGACATATGCCACAATCAGTCATCCATTCGGCATCGCCAACAGATGGTTGGACCATCGCTAAAATTGCCGTAATCATGACAAATATGGATGTTAACGTCATTTTTGGTTGCATTGAAATTATTCCATATATCCTCAATGTTGCCATCATGTATGCTGTGTCCTCATTGGCTCAATTTAAATCTACGTTTCAAATTTTATGTTTTGGGTGTGTGCTTGTATATGTGTTTTTTTATTTTAATTTTTCGGTGCGGTAAAATTTCTCCTGGTAGTTCATCTGAAAATAAAAAAAAACATATAAAAAATTCAGTGTTTTTGTAACGAGAAAGAAATTACTATAAATCTATAATGCCTCAATAAACCAAATTACACCCACAAAAAACAATCCTTCAGAAAACGGATTTTTATGGTCTTTATCACCTACATGAACTTTACGTTTGTGTATGTTTAGATGCTTTGAATAAAAACAAAAGAAAAAACAGTACGGAGCATTACATTTGTTGTCGAGAATATTTTTCAAAAATTGTCATACTTCATGCAATGAATACAATATCTCTTTACTCGTATTTTTTAGTGGTGTATTTTATATATCCGTTGCGCATGAATAATGGATATACAGAAAAAATATTGCTTGGACCGTTCGGTCTCTTCTTTCATCTCTCCGGTTGCAATTTTTCGTGTTTCCATCTTTTTTTCGGAAAGCATTTTGCATAACAATGTGTCTATTTACCATGTGAAAGCGAGCACCAGCACACATACCTATAATAAGAAAACAACAATTTAACCTTCGCAGTTTTGGATGCTCTACATTGATGGTGTTGTTTTTATTCATCTTCTTTTTATTTTTGCATCACAAAAATATGGTCAAAAAATAGAAAATATTTAGCTAGCAGGCAGGAATTCGAACATGTGAATCGTACACATATTTATCTGGCATTTTCGAATTGGTGTTATGCTCTTCAAATCGCCAAACTTGCCATGAGCTAAAACTGTCTCTGTCACTTTCCGATAGCGTACAATATGTGCATCACTATTTCATAAATGTGTCGCAAAAATGCATTTAAAATCGCTACCTCCATTTCATTTTGTAGGGTTTTTTATGTTGGTACACATCCAAATATCAGAAATATACGGAAATATGCATATAATTTAAGTCGATTTAAAGCATGAAATGGTAACAACAATGCCACCGTAAAAATCGCTAAAATGTATGAACCGAGAGAGAGAGAGAGAGAGAGAGAGAGAGAGATAGGGAGAAATCGGAGCTAAATCATGCACATACATGTTTCTTCGATGCATATTTCATTTCAATGAATATTGCAAATACACTTGGAGCATAGCATGAATATGCCCCTTTCTCTCACTTGTTTGTTCAAATCAAAAATTTACTACACAAATGGGAAAATCCATGTTACACTTTTAAACAAGAAAAAGAACTAAATTTAATAAAGATTCGCGCACCGAATGCAACAATTGCATATTGTATGTATTTCATCCAATTTTATGTGCTCATGCATTTGATTAAAAGTTCTTTTTGACAGCAATAAAATTGTCACTTGAAAAATTAAAGGTGGGAAAATTGAGGTATTGTGGAAAATGTCAAAGCGAAAATATGACACGATATTTAGTAGAATGAGGCCTTTAATAAATTATGTTCCACAGTTGATGAACATAAAATGACGGATAATTAATACCGATATAATTTACAAAGCTTCGCACAATTAAACATACATGATCCCAATAAATAAAACCGAAACTCAGTCAGTTACGCTGAATGAAGTTGTTTTTGATGAAAATCAGAAGTTGAAAACATCGAGTGCATTAGATGTTTGTACAGTATCAAATAGCGTAGAAATATTAAATGAATAAAATAAGTGAAGTTACAATATTCATTTGATTTCTTGAAGAGCATTTTTCCTCTGTTCCTTTTAACGCATTGAATGAAAGCACGGATATACGAATTACGCTGTCTCAAACAGTTATGATACTCATTCGCCCCATATACAACTTGTTTGTTTCACCAACAACATACATCATACCGTGTACCACATGAATAGGTTCACTTCGGTTCAAATTTATAATTAACAAATGCGCTGAACCGAGTTATAAATTTTAATCATTTGCTGATTTTCTTCAGTATATAATTTTATAGAAAATTTTATAGAGTATTTCATGTGTTACAAAAGTTGATATATACCAATCGCAACAGCCAACCCAAACCAGAGACTTCTCATGTTAAGTCGAGAAAACTTTTGGTAAATTTTTTTCCCTTTGCCGCAAAATTAAAATAAAATATCTTGCCGCTTACGAAAGTTAAAAACAGTATTCCACAATGTTACGTCAGCTCTTTTATTCTATGTTGCCTGTATGTGTAAAGGATCTGAAACATATGATCATCGTGTTTATACTCTATTTTGAATAACCATAATCCAAATATGACTGAGAAAATATTGAAATAGTTAAAACATGAAAGTAATCTTTGAATAAAAAATGGATTTCATCAGGAGCAATCATATGAAGAATTGCATTTTCACTATGAATATAAAATGCATTCCACGAAAAACTCAACCAAGCATTAATTCTATGTGAGCATATGCGTGAGTGTAAAAAGAAAGTAATAAATCTGAAATCAGATTTAATTTTTAGTCTCTCTTCAACAGAAGTGAATTAAGACATATTAAATTTTGACAAATTTTGTTCGTCTATTTCTTTCGGAAGCTTTCTTGCGAAGAAATTGAAATCGTAACTAAAGATTCTGGTGTAGGTTTTTATGATTATTCTTCTCTTTGGTTTTTAGGGCATATTGGCGTGGTAGAATTCATTTGACAACATTAACACAATTTTTACAGGCAACCAAAAAAATTAAGTGAAATAAAACACAAAGGAAACCAGTTTAAATTTAGCGTAGAGAAAATCAATTTGCGCTTGTGCTTATTAACAATGTAAAAAAAGAGATAGTGAGAGGAAAAAATGACGCTTTCATTTTCAGCGAGAGAGAGAGAGAGTGTGCTTAAGCGATGGTTGAGGGGGTAAGCAAAAAGAAAGAATGCTGGTGGTAATGATATGGTTACTCTTTTTGTTGCATTGTTGCTATTAAAAAGACGGACCATTACTGAGTGGATGGTGTAATAATGGTTGGCGCTCTAACTATATTAATATCAATTATATACACGAAAGTGAATGCGACAGCAGCGGGCAAAAGTGGATGGTGAAAGCAAAACCGAAATAAGTACAACGCTTGTCAAAAGAAAAACAAAAGAATTTCAGAGAATGAATGGATTGCACCGAGCGGTAGCAACAGAACAAAATAGCATAGAACACAGAGGGGAAAGAACGAACTTTTTGTTTAATTGAAAAATAAGTGGAATTTTTCTTCATTCAGTTTCTTGAAGGCCTTGTTGTGTTTTTCTTTGTGAAACTTTGCACAACGGCGTTTTTTTTCAGCATGCCTTAAACATGAGCCGGCGGCCCACATGCTTTCCAACAAATGCTGCCTGAACAAACCGGTCAACGAAAGCTTCAACATATTTCTTGTGACATTTTTTTTTGTTCGCCAACTGAGCGAACGTTTTTCTGTTTTTCACTTTAACAACCATGTTACTTAAATCAAGGTACGAAAGTGAGCCGTGCATTTTAAACACACAACAAATCTTAGACACGTCTTGACGTTGATTATTATTCTTTGCAAAGAAATTGGCAAAAAAGACGATATAAATCTGTGATTTAAATTGCCACAACAAAAAAGTATTAAGCAAACACAAATCTGTCTGGAGAAATTTTAAAAGGGAAAAAATGGTTTATGGAAATTTTAAAACCACGCATAATTTCATGATTAAAACAATCCTTCAACTTGAAACAACTTTGAAACATTTTGTCTTTTTATCGTTTTTCTCTCGTTTTTCAATTGGATCTTTCAAAAGAACAACTAATTTTTTTTATATATTATCATAAAGCATCGCATAATGTTGGATTGCTCTCCGGTTTTATGTCATCATTTCAGTTTTATTCCATTTCTTAGCTTTGAATGTTTTTATTAATTAATACAGCTTTGCTCAAAGTGAAAGCGAATCGCTTTCGAAATTACACCCTTTGTCAAGATGCCAATATTCTCGGTATTTCAATAAAAATGGCCTGTTTCATTGAAGATAATTGAATTATTTTATCGTAAATAATGTTCATTCATTTCATGTTCTTTTTTTATCGCTCATTGCCAGATATTATTTGTGAACCATCTGATGTGCTTGCTTGGGAAGTTTTTTATGATTGGCAGTGGCAACAAATGAGTGATTTTTTTTTTTTTTTCTTCTTATGAATGAAGTATGGTTTTCTTCATTGAACTACAATTATGAAACGCTGGTAAATATACTGCGTATATAATGTTAAACTATCGAAGTATATTGATTTTCAACCTCTTTTTTATAAAGTAAAATCCAGTCGCTTATCGATTATTTCAATACAAAATATTGATAATTTCAAACGCATTGCTGCTTATAAATTGTGAATAACTTACTCACAGCATAAGTTTGGAGAGTGATTAAGAATGGGTTTTGTATATTTGCTTATGGTCAAATATTGTTCGAAAAACATTTGAGCATTGAGTGTAATTTCAAAATTCACAGCACTAACAACAATAGCATTGTGCTGTGTTGACTCATATAGTAAACTGTAACGATATTAAACATAAATTTTGTTTAAATAAAATACAAAACAACAATGGGTAGTCGTGTTATGCAAGAATACTATATCGATGTGCTTGGCAAGCTTGTTGAGTGAGTTTAAGTTTTTGGTATTGAATGTGAGAGAAAATCAAGTGGAAAATGTATCAAAATATTGGTCTTTTGGTTTTGTGTGAAAATTGAATAGATTTCGTAATAGAAACATGTGTGAATATGGCCCTTGATTTCTCCCTCAGCGCTTTACATATGCCAATTCCATAAACACAACATTCTTTGCGAGAAGTATATCGTAAATTAAATAAAATGAATGATCGTCAAGGGTATTTCTCTCTCTTGGTGTGTGTATCACACTCATGCACCGGTTGCACTGTTTGCCATATATCCGAAATCCAAAACGAAAATGCGACAAATACCATTTAGGCACTGCACTTGCACCTCATACACGACCACCAAAATGAGGTTTACTTCGGCAATCCGTTATACACTCAGAGAGTATTCATGAAATAATATAAACAAAAATCCAATATGCAAAATTCCATAACAAATTCTCATAGAATCACCATGGATGAATTATCGTGAAATAATTACGTACACCGTTTCG